ATTTAGGATTAAGCTATTTGTACACCAAAATTTGTATCTCATTTTATATCCCAAAAGCACGCACCGATATTTTGTGTCAATGTGATGTTAGTGTGATGATTTATTTTGACAAAAAATATCAGTGCAATTTTTTTTATTAATTAACATTTTCTACCAGTGTGAATCGTTATGTTTCTTTGAAATACAACTTAAGATACACTTTAGTATACTCCTGACATGGTTGATAAATTTAGGACCCTATGTTGGAATAGACCTTGATGTCCCTCTAATTGGAGGGGAATGATGTGCAAATTGAGAAAATAAGTAGTGATACATGGGAGATTGATTGAGATGAGTGGAGAAAAGGGGACATTGCAAATTGATGAACAAATTAGTAACTAAACACTATTAATTAATAGGAAGTAATTAATTTATTGATCACATACGGAGTATTATTTTTATAGAGCAAATTTCACTTGTATTCATGATCTTGAGGAGCTTTGCGAGATAAGATTTTTATTCATTTGCCCCAAAATAAAGTTATTATTTTAATTTAAGAAATTCATTGAAGTTTTTTTTATAAAAGAAAATTAAAATACAAATAAAATTTAAGAAAAAACAGAACTAGGACTTTCTTTTACTCCGTATTTATTTATCACCATATTTATTGCTACGTAATTTTCAAAATATGTACTGTAATAATTTGACTAAAAAAAGTTCAACGTTTGAATTATAAGGAATTTGGAATTTGGAATTTTTATTTTATCTAGAGAGTAATTATAATCTGTATCCTTTATATATATAAAGGAGGGTCGGAGCTGTAGGAAGGAGACATTTGGCGAAGCTATGGCACGACATTTGGCGGAGCTCTAGCACGACATTTGGCAAATCTGATGTGTCACCCTTTTGGACAAACCGGCCAGTCGAATCGGACCTTTTTTTTTGCAATTTTTTTCCAAAAGAATACTACCATGAAGTTTGAACCCAAGATCTCTTGGTAATTTAATTGAGTTCCTAACCATTCAAGTTGGAGTGCTTTTTGTTACAATTTCACTTAACCTTTTATAGTATTTCATAATTAAAAAAGGATTGTATAAAAATTTATTTTTAGTTATAAAAAAAATAGTCCTTTAATATAATATTTGAGAGTCCGTTTGCAAGAAAGTCGTCAAGTATCAAGCTTATGTGGGCTATATTAAGGTGAGATGACAACCCTTTATTGGTTGCTTATGTGGCAAAGTTTATTAATGATGAATTGACCTTTCTTTTAATTTTAAAATAGAAATTTATTAATGATTCAAATTTTGGAAAAATTTTACGTAAAAAGTTTTAGGACAAATAAAGAATTCATTACTTCGTGACATTAATTGAGTATTTATATTTTTTATTTTTAAAAAGCAATTCATTTAATCCCTCTGTCCTAAAACTTTCTTCACACTTCCCTTTTTTCTCCGTCCTAAAACTACCTTCCTATTAGAAAAAAAAGATGACAAATGACATTATTACCCTCATGTATTTACACCAATTATCTTCTAACTCTATATTTTGAATAATTGCAAAAAAAAATTCAAAAAATCTTTTTTAAGGAGGGTAAAATTTAAAGTTAAAGCCAAAAATTAAAAATGGAGAAAAGTCAAACTGGGAAGAAAGAATTAGGACGGAGGGAGTATTTATTTGTTATGTTGTGATAAAATTAATTATGTTATAAAATCAAAGTTGTGAAAGATAAATATAGTATTGTCCAAAATAAAATTATCAAAGGAAAACAATTATATAAAATATAATTTTATGATAAAACTTATTATGATGTAGAAAAAAATTAGTGAAAATATAAAATTGGTATCATCACTTACCATTTCTAGACTAGCATTTTTTATGAATCAAATTTTTAACTAAGTGCAGACACAAAAAACAAAATTTTGATAATATAT